TCCTGATTGCACCTGTGCTAGTTCCCCGTTCATATATAATCCGGATGGCCACAGTATTACTGGTGAACTAAACATTGTCAATAACACTTCTCTGCGAAATGTGTTATCCAAAGGACCGACATATCGTGAGCCTAAATCCATCAATTGGAAACACAATTTGAAAATACTGATGGATTCAGTCGAGGATTATGCCAGGCAATGGGCTAAACGCGAGAAAGAAGACATAGATACTCTTTCCGAATGGATTAAGGCTGTGAGGTAGTTCATACAAATTAGAATTAAAAAAACTAAATGGTTCTACGAATACCAATGCTACATCAATCTTTAAAGACCCAAATGTTGCAAAACACCTGTCCTATCTCCATGACAAATATGTTGTTGTCCCCGCAGATAAACCCACAAGCAACATCGTTTTTCTGTTTATATCACATTACATAAACTGCTCGATAAATGAATTAGGAATTGAAAATTCACTTGGAAACTCAACATATACCCCAACGACACTTACCAAGGAGGAAATCCTTGATAATCATAGGTCTGTTCTATGTTCCTTTGGAATTTCAACCAAAGATGAAGAACTTGATCTTCCATCACTGTATTGGATACCTAAACTACATAAGTGTCCTTACAAACAACATCATAGTGCAGGGTCTTCCAATTGCTCCACGAAACCTCTTTCTAAATGATTAACATCAATTTTATCAGCAATCAAAGTCGGGCTTCAAAGTTATTGTGAAACTACCTATTCTAGAGGTGGCGTGAATCAGATGTGGATACGAAAAAATTCCAAGATCTTTTAGAGTACATGCAATCTAAGACTCTTTCATCCTGCAATAGTATTGAAACTATTCTACCCTTTTCACAAATATTCCTCAATCCAAACTAAAAGATAATTTGAAATAATTGGTCCTTCATTGTTTTATAAAAACTTCTTGTCTTAAGGAGGGATAAATCGTACTTTGTAAAACATCACCCTGATTCAAACAAAAAATTCTCTGAAACTGACATTATCAAGATGCTTGCTTTCTTCATTGACAACATATTTGTTACGTTTAGAGGACGTGTTTTTCAACAAACAATCGGCATTCCCATGGAAATCAACTGTGCTCCGCTCCTTGTTGACTTGTTCATTTATTCATATGAGGCTGACTTCATAGAGGAACTTCTAAGGAAGAAAGAAAAGAAGTTAGCAGTATCCTTTAACGCACTTTCCGCTATATAGATGATGTTCTCTCACTAAATAATTCAACATTTGGGGACTATGTTGAACGCATCTATCCCATCGAATCTGAGATAAAGGATACTACAGATACAGTTAAGTCTGCCTCATATCTTGACTTACATCTAGAAATTGACAATGAGGGTCGGTTGAAAACAAAACTTTACGACAAAAGAGATGATTTCAGCTTACCAATTGTGAACTTTCCATATCTATGTAGCAACATTCCAACAGCGCCTGTAAACTGAGTATATATCTCCCAGTTGATACGATATTCCAGGGCTTGTATTTCAAATCATGATTTCCTTGATATAGGGTTAATGCTAACAAGGAAGCTATTAAACCAAGAGTTCCAAGCGGTGAAGTTGAAATCATCACTTCGTAAATTGTACGGACGCCAGTTGGAGTTGGTTGACTGTTATGGAACATCCGTTTAACAGATGATAGCGGATATGTTCCAATTGTCGTAACTACTATCCCGTCCCCTTTTCCCCGAATGTGACCTACCGAATTAGACTTATTAAAGGGTTTGTACTAACATGAGCAACACGACGAGTGCCATATGTGGAGCAGGATCTGCTTACCCTTCCAGAGCACCTGAGATCGCCCCCTGTTTTTGGTGGGGTTCGTGTTGCTCAGTCTTTAGTTTTCTATGTTATGTTTTTGTAGTGTTGTTTGTTGGTATTTTTCTTTTTTTAGCAATGACGTTGTCAGTTTATTTTCGACTTATGAGTTTGATAGTCCCTTTTGTATCTTTCGAATCTCTTCTCAAAATGGGAGGGTATATTAAGGCGACAGTAGTTCACCGGTGTTCAAATCTCATAAATCGATGGAGAAGAGACAACTCAAGGTAATAAACAAAGTTGAATTGCGTAAAACTCCAAAAGGAACGAGTTTGGGTGCGTCTACATAGCGTATACTAGAATGCATGCCATTAGAATCCAAACTTAGTCAAAATGTTAAAATCTGGAAATACTATGGATTTTCTACCCCAGGAATAGATAACATTAGCTGTATTTGGCAAAACCTTTCTGAATTTTGGGTCCTCAATGCTCTTCAGGCCTTTTTAACTTTATTGTTTTATTTCGAGCGTCACTGCATGATGAGTCTTTTGTAGACAAAACACGCGTCTGGCGTCCACAATTTTAATCTTGGTGTCTATGAAGAGTTTATATAGGACACAAACTGTTGAATTAAAAACTAGGCGACTGTACTTATGTTTAAAGACGGAGAAAACATGTCGTTAGTTATTTGAGACACTGATACATCGTATCGGTCAACCCATTCGTGATGGTGTCGTGTAGTGTCGATTTAAGTCGTTCATTCTCATAGCTTTGTTGAAGCAGTTTTTGTATAAGAAACACACCGCTGTCAACGAAGTTCGTGTGTTGTGAACATGCACGAGAGTAACGTATAAACTGAGATATGTAAAAGCCATACACCGGAGCAGATTTTATTTTACACATGAGAAATGTAAAGTTGAAAATTTGAAAGTTGAAATCATCACATTTGTCATAAATTCTAGTTTTAAAGTCGTCCATCTGTGTAGAGGAATAGATCAAGATATGAAACAGACCATGAACTTTCGGTAGTATCCTTAATTCAAGTTCACTGGGATATATGAGATGTAAGTGCTCATTTAAATGTGGGTCATTGAGTGGCAGGATCTCATCAATATATCTGAAAGCGAAATTTAAAAACTTTGCAAGAAGTTTTTTCTTTTTGACTTTGAGAAGGTTTTACATGGATTTTGCTTCAAATGAGTACAAAACAAGTCAGCCAATAGAATGCACAGTTGATACCCATTGGAATACGTACTGTCTGCTTAAATATCAAATATGTTATTGATTAGTAACAGATGGCAGCAGATGGTAACCGGTTAAAGTGGAATGCATTATGATAACGTGTTCTTTAAAACTATAAATAGAGAAAAATCAAATCAAACAATATATTATCAGTGATATATGGAAATGGGTGACATTAAACTACTGTCGCGTTAATTGCTTATCCTGAGTTTTTACCAACCACTGGGTCGATGCCATTGCTGGTAGACATTTCGTGCCCTAGGATATCACCAGCCAAGAAGTCAGCACTTTTGCGTTAACATGAAATATCATTGATATGTTCATTTTCTATAAAACATAGCTCTTATAAAGTGTTAAAAAAGATTCGAAACAGTAAGACTTTTCTATCCCCAGGCTTAGATTGCCTTACCCGTATTTGGCACAACGTTTTGGATTTGTTTTGTGCTTTTAATGCTCCGAAACATCGTGTTTCTTTTGGACTTCTAACTGGTTTGATTGAGTCTGATGTAGACGAAACGGCGTCTAGCGTACCTAATCATAAGTCTGCATGTTATCTTTGATAAATTTATACAACCACTGGGTCGATGTCACTACTGATTGACGTTTCTTGCCGGAGGACAGTTTATGTACTTCAATGTAATGATTCTTACTCGAACATTCTGAATTCTGAATAAGTCTTAATCTAATGGGAATTACTTAACCCCCATCTTATCCATACTTGACTGTACCGAGTTCTACTTGCTTGTGACGTAATAATGGTCTCTCATTGTAGGTGCTGGTATACGCCTTTTAAAGTATTTCATATATTTAGTTTTTACCATAAGGGTTATATGTAGTTCAAGAAACAAAAATGTAAGAACATATTTTGAAATGAAATAAGCGGATTCCAGTTCACATGAACCTTAAACATATGAAAAAACTAAAACAACAAACATACCGAACTCCACAGGAAAATTCAAATCGGAAAGTCCGTTATCAAATGACAACATCAAAAGCTCAAAGACATCAAATGAATGGAAAACAACTGTCATGTGTTTGACTTGGTACAGGCATTTCCTTATGCAGAAAATTAGTGGATTAAACCTGGTTTTATAGCAAAGCATTCAAAGACCTTGCCGTCACCAGGTTATTCCACTGGTCCACTGAGACCCAATTTCACTGACGGCTAGACACGTTTGCATATATACTATTTCTTACCTTTTCTTTGATGCAAAGTATCCAAAAGAAATGATAAAATGTCCAGCTGAGATACGATGACCCAATTTTAGGAGAACATAAAAGGAGAACTCCATCAAATTTCACGTAGCTGAATTTCCGGATTATATAAATCGAAAGTTCCGGAAAATTTCTCACAAACAAGGTGTAAAGTTAAGAATTTTGCAACAAAAACATCAGTTCATCGATACAGGCCTAATTTATATGTATGATTATGTGTTTCGTGTCAACCCGTAAAACTTAATTTGTTATAAATAAAACACTTCCGCCCGCCATGAGCCAGAAAATTTTCAATTTGTAAAAAGGGTAGTTTATTAAATAGAAAAAAATAAATAACTGCTTTAATTAAATATAAAAAAGTATATTGAGTTTGCAAAACAAGGAATGAAATAAACATATTTTGAAAAGTTAACCAAAGTAAATTGATAAAAACAAATCAATTACTAATTTACAAACATAAAGCTACAAATTTCATAGTATTGAAAACAAACGTGCTACCAAAAATGGAACAGGAGAACAAGCCAATCGTTGACAAGAAACGTCAACGATGTTGTGCAATACACCAGCAGTCAACAGAAGGATGTATATAGAATTTAGACTGCTTTGTGCTAGCCTAGCATAGTTGCAGAGTTTTAGTTGCTATGTTAGTACACAAGAACGCCGTCCGCATGAAGCTAATCCCGTATTCCTTATAAGAACATACTTGAAAAAAACACAAGTTTTCGACCAATCAAAATCCAAGATACTTGAATAAGGTTTCATAAAAACTCGAGGTGAACGTATGTTTTAGTTGTTTACTTCACAAATCTTCATTCATATCGAGATTATTCTCACTAGATAATAAGCTTTCAAATTGGTAATTTTTCAACTTTAAGTAAGTAGTTTTATACTTGTATTTAACAAAAATCATATCTCTTTTATACATATATTTAACAAACATCATATCTCTTTTATACATATTTAAACAAAAATCATATTATTTAGACAATAACAGTAAATACAGAGGTAATGGATTTAACTTTTGAAAAACTTCGAATTCATAACTTAAGAATCAAGTCGGCTAATGGCCTTTTATTTGTTAATGTTAATGTTTTCATAATTTAAGTTTAATGATGTGACGTCCGTTACAATGTTTACGTTAGATAGATGCTCAATTTGTCTAGGAGAGTGTGTGTTCCGTTTATCATTATTTGTATTTATTAAAGTATTGTGATGTTTAACAATTACTTCCATATCAACTAATGCCCGTGTTGCATTACTTCGAAGCTGCAACATATGGAAATTGACTATTTTATTTATACCCCCCAGGAAATCGGTCCGATAAAGGCTTCTGTTGTTTTGTATTTGTTCTTGCGGGTTGTTATTTGTCTTTCTTTTCAGTCAGTTTTTATTTCACATATAGTTCGTTTACAACGTAAATATACAAGTAATTTAAAGAAGTAAATCGAGATTTTCTCAATTTAAGGTAGCACAATACAAAAGCAACCAAATTTGATCAAAATGTCATTTTCAGCTGTTTTTGTAACTTCTTGATATTACAAAACCACAGAAGAAAAATAAGTTTCCATATCTTGCACTGTTAATGAGTAAATTTTGATGATAATTAGTTTTATAAACAAATGCACGTGTCTGACTGATACAAATAAGAACATGTGGGCAGTACTTTGTGGTTAATCAATAGAATAATTTGATAGCTTTATGACCAATGACCAGCTATAAAAATAACAGTCATAGAAAAGAGGTTCAATTAGGGTTTTATAGAAAAAAGAAGATAGTGAAATCCAAATAAAAAACATTTCAATTTGAAACTGCTAGGAGAAAAAAACAAAAAAATAATTTGGAGCTATAGAGGGAATCAAATATAAATGTATTTCATGTTCACCGATTTGACTCAAATTCTCAAATTTGATTTATAACAATGTAAAAGATTTATCCAAATTATAAAAAGTCTAAAATAAACAATATACAGGGCATGGGCTCGATAATATGTAGCTTCGTTTCGTGTGTATTTTAGTCTAGACGCCATCTAACTAACTGTCGAGTTGACCTCCGAAAACATCCGATTGCCATATAAGCGATATAAACATAAATATAGATATCAGACTCGTGCATTTGGGTTTTTGTAGGTCTGTTTAATTTCATATTTTAGATTAAAAATATATGTTAAACATCGTTTTTACCTGTATAAGAATGATTTTTTGTGGATCGAATCAGTTAATCAAATGATTTACCTTTGTTTCACTTTCAATGTTGACATTCTTTTCCTTTAAATAGTTGAATACGCACAATGCATGCGGTATCCATCTCTAGCTAAGGGGTTAAATTGAAGTTCACATGAATACGGATTCAATGAAGTCGAATTATTCACTTGCAAGTGAATAATTCACCATCAATGTTTCTTAGCTTATTTTGACAAAATTGAACCATACTGGCTGCTGAAAGAGGTATATTATTTCACTATTTCACTTTCATTAATGAGTGAACCAAAAAATCATATTTTATATTTTTTATATATGTCGTGCCCCTTTAAACAAATATAAAGTGCAACAATTAATGTTGTTTATGTTAATGCTGATGGTTATATCAGATTTTCTTGAGGAGAATGTGTAAATATGAATTCTTTTTAAAAGAAAAAAAACAAATTAAATATTTTATTTTCAAACTACAAAAATAAGAAAAAATTCTACTTTGTGTTAACACCATATTTTCATTGTATACAATTATAATTGTAGAAATCCCCCCATAAGAATCATCTAGACTGACCAACTGATGATTTTATGTATACATGCATAACTTATTTTTTGGGAAAACGTTAAAAACAAAATATATTGTTTCATATACTAATTGAATAAAATATCCATATTGAAAACAAGCATATGCAATGTGTAATTAAACTTCTGAGATCATTGATGGTTGATGTTTATCTAGGTGGGCGGTGTTTTGACCATATCAGTAGTAACTGACTTACAGCAAGGTCAATAATGATATAACTTCTCCCGCCAGATCTGGTTTTTGATGCATAGGGTGTTCATTTTCTTTATATATTAGAATTGCTTAAATGGATTGCTTTCTTACTGGTAAAACCTAATTGATTTATGATTTATGATTAAAGGCCAATCCTTAAGTATTCCCATGGTACATGTGTGAATGATATTGAAGTTAGTGAGGTTCAAATAGAAAAATCCTTATTGATTCAATTGTGACACATATATTTTTGTCATGAAAATGTAGTTTTAAATGAAATTAGCTCCTAGACGGGTGCCCCCATATGCCCGATTTTACCACATGTTGTTCCTTGACCAGTGATCTTCAAAACCGTGTCTCAGATTTCCAAAAACATCAATAGAACAAATTTTATACCCAATAAAATTGAGGGATTTCTTATGACTTAAGGTTGCAAACTTAATTGAAGGGTTAAAAGAGAATGAAATACAAAAGGAAAAATCTGGGACACGGTTTTGGAGGTCAAACTGTGTTGCACAAGAATCTATCAAAAATGTTGAGATGCTATGAAAAACAAAGAAGCTAATTTCATTCAAATGTGGACATCAGAATCTAGCCACTAATTACATAATAATAAATTATGTAATAATTATGTAATAATGAAATTATCACCATTTGAAAGATTAATCTTTCTTCTTTCTTTTGATTCCTCATTTATGAATTTTAGAGCTTGATGAAAGAAATTACATCAGTTTAAAGTTGTCTGATTGGGGGTGACAAAAATCTTTCTATTGTGCTACCTTAAGCATTGTCCCTTATCAATCAAAAGATATTCATATGAAATCGAACAACATCGTAATAAAGTAGACTGGTTGTTTTTTAAATAATATTGTGAAGAAGAATAACAATACTTTTTCAGTACTAATTGACAGTGACTTGTTTTCCATAGGAGTAGCTGTAGACGTTGTAATAGACACAGAATGGCATCAGCGAAGTCATTTGAAACAGGTACTGTTTGTTGTTATACTTTATTTAATGTTACTTTTATACATTTCCATGCGCATGAAAATCAGGTATTTGCCTAATTTAACACAGACATGTATATTGAAGGTTTAAGGTACTACAATAACATGCACTGGTTACTTTGTCTTTCGGAGAAAACTGGATTCTGAATATTTAATTTTAAAACATTGTCTTAAAATTCAATTTATATACCATGGGCTTATCATAATTTTTTAATTGAATCAAACTATTCTCAAAAGACAGTTAATGCCATAAATGATACATTTTGGTTTCGTGTTGTGATTATCGAAGCGTTTGTGTATAGGGAGATTTACAGATAAACCTCAAATCAAACCAAATGTATATACTCGTCGAAAACTTATGAGACGAGGAATTGAGAAAATACATTTTTGATGATGCACAACATGCCTATAGTCATTATTCTATTAAAAATAAAATTGTATTTGCAAAACAGAAAACTTTGTTTTACGATTGAAGTCAGAATTTTAATTTAATCAATAAAAAATATCCCGCTTTAAAATCAACTAAATTAATTATCTTAAAGGGAAGTTACACTTTGCATAATATTTTAAAGTAAAACAATATTTACTTTCACATGTTTCAGAATTATATCCCAGGCTTATATTCCCTACAGTAATGGTCAAATAACTTTAAAAACACAAGAACATGTTAATTTTTCTGATTACAAGAGAATAATTGACCTTGTACTTCTCTTTTTTCACCCCTGACCATTTCAATTTTGTTTTGGTCTTATTATTCTTAGATGGTATTATATCTGTAAAAAGCGAAACATATCTAAACCTAGTACGGCATGGTTGAAACAACAAATTCGTAATAATTTGTCCAGTCAGGGGCAATGCCTCTGAAAAACATGATAGATCAAAACTTCATAATTCAAGGAATATGCTTATGAGCCTGTTGTTCAGTGGTTGTCGTTTGTTGGTCTGGTCATAAGTGTTTCTTCTTTCTCCTTTTTTAATTAGATTAGACCGTTAGTTTTCCTGTTTGAATTATCTTACAATAGACTTTTTTGGGGCCCTGTATAGCTTGCTGTTCGGTGTGAGCCAAGGCTCCGTGTTAAAGGACGTACTTTGACCTATAATTGTTTACTTTTTACACATTATGACTTGGATTGATAGTTGTCTCATTTGCACTCATACCACATCTTCTTATTTAAGGAATGACTGTAATATTTTTTCTGTCTATGAAGAAATAACATCAAAAATGTGTTGCACACTGAATAACTGAATAATAATTTATTTTATAGTGTGCACCACATTTATTATGTTAATTCGAATAGACAGAAAAAATATTACAGTCATTTCTTATAATTTAATTCTAAATTCCATTTTAAACCGGAGTAAACCATGAAAAAACGTTGATGACGTCACGGTCACATGACAAAATTATGTCTATGAGCTGATAAACAAAACAACGTCAGCCAATCAGAAGACGCGTTACATCCGAAATTAAATTATTTATAATTATGAATAATTTTTAACACAGTAGTATTTTGTCATTATAAATCTTTTTAACCGTACATGGCAAAGCGAAAATGAAAATTTGGTAGATGTAGAATACTGACGACGTCAATCCTGCATGATCTTGTTTAGTTTGTTTTTATAATCCAAATCATTTGTATGTATTTCATGTGAGTTTGATTATATTGTATTGAATCTTTGGATTTACGATAGACCGTTACTGAGCCGTTCGATAAAAATATATTTGGTGACTGCCATTACATGATGTGTGCATGGGTATTAAACTTTCATTGAGTAAGACCGCATGAAAAGGCATCAGATTATTTCCATTTTTTTTTTCAGTTGATACTAGAGTGATTGTCGAAGAGGCACTAAAAGAATTAAAAAATAACAACTTAATAGAAGATTTCCAAAAGTATGAGGCCAAAATAATGGATGTATTGGAAGAGGCAGCAAAAACGGAAGAAACAATTACGAAAGAAATGTTTAATATGGTTGACAAAATATCAGCCGAGGATGTTGAAAAGAAAATGTCACCAATAATTGGTCAGGATCGGGTAGACTTGATCAAGAAAGCTTTCAGCATTGAAACATACCAAATGAAATTGGTCAAAAAGTCAAATGGCCAGACGGTTGTACAGGTACGTCGAGGTGGAGCAGACTTCAGACCAGAAATAAATCTGGCAACAATTCAAGATGTTGAAATTGCAGATGTATTACAGTGGGCGAGCATAGCAGTTGAAATATTTATGTTGGTCTTAAGCTGTGTGGATATTGCTGTTGATTTAAGCATATCAAAAACAACAGTAAAACACTCATCTTCATACCTACCATTTCTACAAAATTTGTTGAAGGTTTAATCGAAACCCCGTGTCCCGCCTTTGATTGTTACAGTCAATGTAAAAATGACATATTGACTGCCAAAAACTTAGTCCAACAATTTAAACCGAGTTTGTTTCTAAATATTAACTAAGTCTATTTATCAGTATAATACAGAAAAATGAGGACGATAGTTATCATAGGTACCAGGATTATAATTTAATACGCCAGACGCGCGTTTCGTCTACATAAGACTCATCAGTGACGCTCAGATCAAAATAGTTATAAAGCCAAACAAGTACAAAGTTGAAGAGCATAGAGGACCCAAAATTCCAAAAAGTTGTGCCAAATACGGCTAAGGTAATCTATTCCTGGGATAAAAAAATCCTTAGTTTTTCGAAAAATTCAAAGTTTTGTAACAGGAAATTTATAAAAATGACCATATAATTGATATTCATGTCAACACCGAAGTGCTGACTACTGGGCTGACAAAATATTTAAAAATTTTGCTATATATATTGTTTTTATAATGGTTCCAAGTGATGACAAACATTTAGAAAAAATCCACTTAGATAAATAGAATCCAGTGAAAATGAGTATGCTCCTTGCTTTTAACATCATGGCGAATTGTTGTATCTTTTTTTACAGAATCTTTGGAATACTATTACAAAAATATTGTTATTAGATACGATTTAGTAATGACTAATGTATCCAGTTATTTTCCACATTGTACAAACAACTATCTAATAGAAATATTATAGCTTTGTTATGTATCTGTTATATTCTAATAAATTATATGTTCAAATAAACATTGATAAGAAGATGTGGAATGAGTGCCAATGAGACAACTCTCCATCCAAGTCACAATGTATAAAAAGTTAACAATTATAGGTCAAAATACGGCCTTCAACACGGAGCCTTGGCTCACACCGAACAGCAAGCTATGAAGGGCCCTAAAATGACTTGCGTAAAACCATTCAAACAGGAAAACCAACGATCTAATCTATATAAAAATTGAGAAAGAAGAAACACTTATGAACCACACCAACAAACGACAACCACTGAATAACAGGCTCCTGACTTAGGTCAGGTGTATAAAATATTATTATTATCAATTAATCACAGTCTCCTGGGGTTTGCACAGGAAGGCAGACTTCAACCACTTGAAATGGAAAGGGGGAGAAATGAAACTTTTATTTTTGTTTTAGCAAAAAGGAGCAAATAGTATTGCAACATCTGACTTTTTACCCTTTACCCTTTACACGAAAAGTCCCTATTGCAAACTGAAAGACAAACTGAAAAAAATATGGTCCTGCTTTGTTTCATAAAATGAATGGCCAACGTAGATACAAATATCTTGTCTCTTGTTTTACGGAGGGATAAATCGTACTTTGAAAAAAACCAAACAAATAATTAAATGAATCTGATATTACCCAGACACGTGATTTCTTGATTGACAACATATTTGTTACGTTATGAGGATGTGTTTTTCCCCCAATCAATCGGCATACCAATGGGAACCAACTGTGCTCCCGATCCTTACCAATCTTGTTTCTTCATACACGTGCTTATAAGTGAGAATGAAAAGAAACTAGCATTATCAATTCAGGTTCTGCTATAGAGATGATGCCCTCTCACTGAATAATTCAAAGTTTGGGGACTATGTTGAAAGCATCTTTCCCATCGAACTTGACATAAAGGATAAACAGATGCATTTAAGTTTGCCTCATAACTTGACTTACATCTAGAAAGTGACAATGAAGGTCGGTTGAGAAATGACTTTACGACAAAAGAGATGATTTCAGCTTCCCAACTGTGAACTTTCCATTTCTATGTAGCAACATTTCATCAGCGTCTGCATATGGAGTATATATCTCATAATATTCCAAAGCTTGTGTTTCCTATCATGATTTCCTTAATAGAGGGTTGCTGCTTGCCAGGAAGCTATTAAACCTAGAGTTCCAAATGATGAAGTTGAAATCATTCCTTCGAAAATTTGACAAACACCATCACGAGTTGGTTAACCGTCGAAAATATCTGTTTCAAAAATGACGACGGATATGTTCAAATCGTCATAACCACAATCCCGTCCTATTTTTCCCTGAATGTGACCTACCGAATTAGACTTATCACCGGGTTTTTACTTACATGATGTGTTTTATATACTGTTGTTTGTCTTTTTGTCTTTTTCTTTTTGCCATGGGGTTGTCAGTTTATTTTCGACTTATGATTTTGAATGTCCCTATGGTATCTTTCGCCTCTCTTTTATGTGCCCTTAATGTGCCAAGTCCAGGTTTTCAGAGCTCTAAATAGAAATTTAATTTCCATAAATTTACTCATCTTGTTGCAGTCATTTTGGATTTAAAACAGTGGTATTGACTTTTTTTCTAGAATTCATAGATATATATGCTAGAACCTTATAACATGAGAAGATAGTATTGTGTGTTTGTGAGTTACTGATGAGTTGTTTACATGATCTAATAATGGCAGACGACTCTAATAAATCCCACCTTCAGCGACAGTTATCTTTACACTTCGGTATTAGTTTCACCAAGGGCATTACAAATACTGATGTATTGAATGAACATAAAACTGTGATAGTCCAAAAAGCTATTCAAACCATACAAATTACGCAGGAAGAATGTATAGTTATAGTACACGACCAGAACACACACCATACATTACTCGCACGAGGAATAAACTTGAAAAACCGTTATAAAAAAATGGTAGATGAAGAGAAGCAAGTTACAAATGTGATTATAAAAGATGCTCGTGTGAAATGTTCGACACTACAATATGTGGCCATATTTCGTGGTGATGTTGTGCATAAGATAAGATAAAATAAGAAAAAAATATTTTGATTCGGTATAAATCAAATATACAACACAAGTTCCAAGGAGCTTTTGACCGAATATAAAAACATATAAATAACATAAAAACAGTCAAAGATATAACAAAATGCAATACAAAATTAGAATCTCACACCAGAGGTGGATTTAGAGGGTTTTTTAGGGGGCCCGGCCCCCCTTTTGTGGGAAAAATTTGGTTGATTATATAGGGAATCACTGAAGCATGACTGGATCGGGCCCCTCTTAGGCAGTCAGTGCCCCCCCCCCCCCCCCCCCCCTTTATCAAAATTTCTGGATCCGCCACTGCACACATAGCATATGCAATAAAAATGAAGTAAAGTATTTATCTATATGATTTACCTCTTGAAAAGTTATAAAAAACTAAGATTGAAATATGGATAAATATATTACATCGGACTCTGACTTCTATCAAACTGAGTTTTACTGTGCGTATTGCTATGTGTTTCTTTATTCTACATTGGCTAGATGTATAGGGGGAGGGTTGAGATCTCACAAAACATATTTAACCCCGCCGCATTTTTGCTTTCAAAATGTGAAAAACTATTTTCAGTCCTGAAATGGTTTGGAAGGCCGTTCCATAAAGTTGCGGCAGCAAATTTGAAAGATGTTTTTACCGAAATGGGTCGACCTTACCTGTGGCACATCCAGAACATTTACATACCTGAAACAATATTTAGTTTTTTTTAAACTGACCAATTTTTTGTAAACACACAAGAGCTATATTGTTCATAATCTTTCATAAAGTTTCTAAAGCCATTGTTCTTATCCGTCTGATCTGCAAGGAAGGCACCTTAGCTTAATGTAAGAGGTCCTCGTAGGAGCTGCTGTAATCCTCGTATACAAAACGGAGTGCTTTTCCTTCCAGCAGTGGTTTAATAAAAGATACGAATATCGAGACCAGTACACGTTATGCACAACTGACAAACTGCATCCAATTAATCCCAACTGCAACCAAATTCGCAAGATTCATTGTCCGTGTTTTCGCAGATAATAACAGGACAGAGTGTCCGTGCTATATGAGAACAGATAATCAATCTTTCGATGTGCAAATAAAGCTTCCTTCAAAATCAAGTGGCAAGGTAACAAATACTAAATAAATTGCATTTAAGTTATAATATATTGACCACAAAAGACAAGTTTCGATTTTTTATTATCCGAATACATGTATTTCTTATGGTAGAAATTTGGCTTGGCAGACTCAAAGATAATAAAAATGGTATATTTTTATCCAAGGAATAATGAATCAAACAACAGCTCAAGGAAAATTTATTACAACCAAGGTCAAAGCTTTTTGTCTCAGTCGAACACAATTAAAATCTTATTCAGAGTGGCTGATACTTTCATCCTATATCTTATGATTCTGTTTCTTACCTTGGACAAGCATGTTCACTTGAAAATAATCTAAGCCGCCTTGTAAGATGTCATATGTAATAACAAAGGGAAAAGGATTTAAAAAACTTCGGAAATACCTAATTGAATATGAATAAAAGAAGATGTCGGTCATATGTTAAAGGGTTATGCAACGACCAAACAACACAAAAAAAAAGAAGCAGAAACAGACATTTTGAGGTCAATTTATAGTCTTTAACAATGGAATAAGGTCAAGCTCTTACTTGTTTCAATGCCTTTATTTTCTTTGAATTTTATAATCCAACATTTCCACTGTTTTCATAACAAAGTAAGTGTTATACATTTTTAGTTTGTGTAAATGAAGTGAATATTTATTATTTGTTATCTCCCGGGCCTTTTTACGAGCTTGAAAGATCTTTGTAATTTTTGTTATGCAGTACTGGGCCACAATTATGATCAATTAAACAAAATAATATCTACTCAGGGTCTTTTATATATGGAATAAAAAATATATTGTCATAACTAATTTAACTTTTGGTTTACTTGGCCTATATATCTCACCTTAAGGTTAATTGTCTTGTGAAAGGTGACAAAGTTTTCAATAAATAATTCTTCCACTTTGTTGAAGAGTCAGTCTTGATGTCTTGTTTATTAAGAATCAAAACAAAACAGTCGTTGATTCATCATAGTTACAAATTTTTTCCATAACATAAGTATCTGTTAGAAGTCAAATGTAAAAACTATCCTAT